TGTTCCTGTGACCATTAATTCTAGCCATATCAAATCTACTTGAAAATGAAAATGCAGTTTCTGCTTCATGCTACATTCACTTGGAAACAGTGTTGACTTGTCATGGCAAATCAGACAACTTGGAATCAGGCAAATGGTCCAATTATGGCCTAAAGACAATCAAAGCACAGAGAAAAATCATGGAAAACATTAAGGATTACAACACACAATCTTTGGCTGAAGACCATCTCCTTCAGGGGCTGGAGTTAGCACATGAGAGCCAGTTCAGAGGGTTGTTTCCTGTTGAGAAGTCTTATAAACACAAACCAAAAAAGTCTAGCATCATAATACCTCCGAAAAACAGATGTATCCCTTCACCACAAATTGCCACACAAGACACTGCAGAGCAGTGCTAATCTCGGGTCTCTGGTTTCCGTTGCCGAAAAAAATTTGCGGGACACTCAACACCCCTGTTTCCAAGGCCAACGGCCATGTAGTAATAATGGGAAGCAGCTGTGAAATGAATACTTTGGCAAAAGTACTTATAAAAAGACCATGATCATGCATTTGGTCATGCTCATTTCAACAGAGATGGGGGACTATTTTTAATTAAAACGTAATGTCTTTTTTTCGAAGAAGAATGTAGAATAAAGCCCAGTAAATTGTAGGATGACTTTGTATGGCCAGAGCAGCCATACACCAGCCTTTAATTCTCATAATATCTTTTTTTGAATTGCAGTGTAAAGAGAACATTAAGGGTGGAGAGATGGCAGTGTTTGCTTCACGAGCGGGCCCCGGACCTTGCTGGCACGCAGCATGCTTTACTTGCTCCACCTGTCAAGAACTTTTGGTAGATCTCATCTATTTCTACCACAATGGCAAAATCTACTGCGGTAGACATCATGCAGAGCTTCTGAAGCCACGGTGTTCAGCTTGTGATGAGGTGAGGATATATATAATTTTCTAAAGGACCAATATACAAAGAAACTAAATGTACATAGCCAATACGAATTTCTAATTTTGTGTCTCTTCATAGATAATCTTTGCTGATGAGTGCACTGAAGCTGAAGGTCGTCACTGGCACATGAAACACTTCTCTTGCTTTGAGTGCGAGACTATTCTAGGAGGACAGAGGTACATCATGAAGGATGGCCGTCCCTTCTGCTGTGGTTGCTTCGAGTCACTATATGCAGAGTACTGTGAGGCGTGTGGGGAAAATATTGGTGAGTTACCTTTGGAACAATTAAAAACTGTATGGCAGGGATGACTACTCCTGCTCCTGGAGGTCCACCAACTTGCAGACTTTAGCTCCAACCTGGTCCAACATACCTGCTAGAAGGTATCGAGTAATCCTGAATACCGTAAATGGCTGATTAATTAGGGTTAAAGCGAACCTCTACAGGAAGGTGGCCCTCCAGGAGCAGGACTGGCCAACTCTGTTACTTGTATGAATATCTGGTTGAAAAAGTACAGCATTTCTTACTTGTTGATTTACCTTTATTCAGGAGTCGACCATGCTCAAATGACATATGAGGGTGTACACTGGCATGCTACTGACAAATGCTTCTGTTGTGCCCAATGCAAAACATCCCTGCTGGGCTGCCCCTTCCTTCCAAAAGAGGGCCGGATCTACTGCTCTAAGGACTGTAGCCTAGGTGAGGACGTCCATGCTTCTGACTCTTCAGACTCAGCTTTTCAGTCTGCCAAATCACGGGAATCTCGACGTAGCATACGAATGGGCAAGAGTAGTCGCCCTACAGAGCAGTGCCAGCAGACACAACTCTATTCAGCAACAGATTACAGGACCTCCAGTCTCTGTGGTGACAACACGGAGACTGTGTGTCATCAACTGGAGAGAATCAACTTTGCAGAGGACAACTACTGGAGAGACCGTGATGAGCAGGAAGGCCCGGAGGACTGTGTGGAAGATTGGGCTGAGCATGAAGACTACATGACCCAGCTGCTACTGAAATTTGGAGACCGTGGTGTCATTCACACGGAGGACACCAGGCCAGCCGAGCCATGGATGATGAAAGACTCTGAGACCAACAGGACCAAACCAGAAATTAAGATCAGCAGCCATAATTTGGCAAGTAAGAAGCACCACACAGAAATGTATTGGGCCCAGTCTCAGGATGGACTTGGAGACTCTGCCTATGGTAGTCACCCTGGTCCAGCTAGTGCTAGAAAGATTCAAGAGCTGGAGATGGATCAGGGAGCAGTACCTGGATTCTGGTCTGAGCCCAGGCAATGGTACGAAGACTCATTGGAGTGCATTACAAGTGAATTCCAGAAGGCAGAGCTCAACATTGGAGATTCAATGGATTCTCTAGCTCTCTCAAATATTACAGGTAGGAATGTCATTTTCAAACAGCTTCTATCAGAGTCTTGCTCCTTCTTAAATTAATCTTAATGACTCATAACATGTCTTCCATTTCTCAGGAGCTTCGGTGGATGGAGACAACAAAGACAGACAGACCATCTACTCCCTCCAAAACATGAAAGACCAAGAGAGAGAGTTGGATGAGTGTGATAACATTAGTAACATGGGCACACTAAACTCCTCAATGCTCCACAGAAGTGTTAATTCCCTGAGGAGTTTAACCTCTGAGCTGGACCGTGAGGAGACACTGAGGCAAGGAGAGAGAGAAGATGAGGAAGAGGACAGAATTCCACCTTATTTTGGAGAGGAACCACCCTCTCCACTGCATCTTCCAGTGCTGAGAAGGACCAAGTCTCAGTCTCAGCCCCAATCCAGACCTCAGCAAGTGAAGTTCTCCGACGAGGTTATGGATAAAGGATATTATGGCGGACTAGGCTTGAGGCAACCACCCATGAGCGAGAGGACTCGCAGACGGACCTATCACATAGAGGAGGACCCACAGAGACATCCTGCTAACAGACATCACAAACGCAGACAGGGCCGGAAAACACGTTCAGAAAATGCCTTGCACCTGCCTTCCAAAAATCGGGGTAAATTGCATGTTGTGCCTCAGATAATCAGCTCAAGCATACCAGAACCCAGGACCGGTATTCTTTTAAATCACTCGGCACACAGTCAGCACTCTTATCATCAAACCCCATCAGACTTTGCTCAGCAGGGCATGGTCCGAATGGACCACTTCCAAAACTTTTGTGACGATGATGACGATGATGATGACTGGTGTTCAACATGCTCCTCTTCATCTTCAGAGTCTGAGGAGGAGGGATTCTTTCTTGGTCAGCCAATTCCCAAACCCCGATCTCAAAGTTTTCATTATTACACAGACGACTATCCGACTCGCGTCACTGCTTTAACACCTCCTTTCGGTTCACGGACCAAACTGAAAAAGAAAGGTCATAAGGGCAAGAACTGCATAATTTCTTAAGACTTTAGACTAAAAGCCTGCATCTGCTGCAGCTGGAACATACACAAGCGTGATTCTAAAGCTGGAAAACAAAACGTTTTTTTCCTCGAGATTTAAGTTTTCTTTACAAGTACGGAGTGTCAGTTGTGTTGCTGTTGGTCTGAACAATGAAAGTAACATGTAATATTTCCTTGTACATTGTATAGCAAAACCATTATTCGCAAAAAAGCTAATTTTCTTGAGTAGTATGTAGACTAACTAAATAATTATTTAATAGTGCAAGCAATGTATATTTGTTAAATTAAGATTGGAATACTGATATTTTTATATCCAAATATGTTAAATGATTAATTACGATTCCTGGCCTCAGATGTTGTTATAATTATTGATCAACAAAATTGAGGTTTGCCATTTTATTGACCAGGGGTTTGCAAATGCAAAATATATATGCACTATTCATATGCTTAATGGCCTCGTTATGTTACTCTGCAGGTGTAAGAACTGCACCCTTAAACATTTTTCTGTCTACAATATGCTTATGCGCTTAAACAGTGTTGGGGGAATCTTCTCTCTATTATGTGTATTTCACCACAGGTAACATACTATCCCTTTTTAACATTAAGATGTCAATAAAATAATTCAAGAGCGATTTAATACATTCCATTGAACCTTGATTTTTCACATTTGTTCATAGACTGAGAAAATTTACAAATATGATTACTAAACATAGCAACTTTATTTAATTACAAACATGAAATCACAAAAGGGGTTTAAATCAAAAGGAAAAAACATGCATTGCAGTAGGTTCAAGACTCTTTAATACTACACAAAAGAAAAACTACACAAATACTTGTGTTGGGTTTTCACAATATAGTGGCCGGAAAATGGGATTTAAAAAAAAAAAGATCAAAATGCATTATTGTCAGATGCACAGCTTAACAGTACTACAGATTGCAGCAATTTGCTGAACCCATAAAGATTACTTACCATAATTCATTCTTCAAATGTTCTCACTGGTTTGAATGTAAGTGAATTAACTGGCAACAACATGGAACCCTTTCAGTTTATACACAATTGATCAGAACAAACACCATCATCTAGTAAATCTCCTCAGTGGGTTAATAATCTCTATAGCTTCTGCAATTAATAAGGAATAGAGCAAACCCTCTTCTGGCACTACTTTCCTTGTGTTTGCCATCTAATTTTTTTTTAATTTATCTTAATGTTGAAAGGTTACAAAATGATTATACAACCTAGCATCGACTAGTGTCAATGGATGAACGGAACTGCATAAATGAAATACATAAAGAGATTTTCCTTGCCCCGTTGCAGACCAGGAAGATTTCTTTTAGGTGGACACTCAGTACACATGTACATTGGCCTTTACATAAACCATAAAAAACAATGAAAAACTTTTGTGTAGGTA